CTACCCGACAATTTCCACCGGGCAACCGGACCAGAATGTGCGGAATCCGTCGTATCTATCGAGTTGACACCGAAAGAAAACTTCAATCGCAAGGTGAATAACGAACTTCCCAGTCCAGCGTTCGAAGCGATGCAGTCTCCATTGGAGACGCTGCCGTGGTAAGGTGGAATGGCTACAGATTATAACGTACTAGAGGTTTATGTGATAACGTGTCACCTCTTATATATACTATCCAGAATTAGGAATTCTTAACTAAGGTTTAAATCAATTTCTGTAATTGAATGACATTCTTACGTACCCATAAACTGGTACATTGCAATACCCCATATAAGAATAATCCCGTAATCGTCGAAATGGCGACAATCGTTGAGTGCTCGATCTCCTTCGCCTGCATGCGTTCATAGCTCGAATCACCGCTTTCTCCTCGCACCTGCGCGTTCACCAGACACTCCATAAACAATGGTGAGCAGTGCTGCTATGTGTGTGGTCGAGATCTTCTCTGCCTTGACGTCGCTCTCGCTAATCTGCAGCCCAGCTATCGCCATGTCCCGCATCTTCAGCCAGAAGAACGTAGGTGTGGCGTCCGTGTTTCCCTTGGCCACGTTACTAGCGAACTCTCACATGTGGATGCTCTACGGATACATGATCAAGAACTGGTTCCCCGTTTTCTGGGTCTTCCTCTTCGGTGACGCGGTCGGCGTGCTCTACCTGGTCGTTTACTGGAGATACACGCCCGACCGCAGATATGTAGCTCGCGTCCTTGGTGTCACACTCGTAGTGTTGTTTGCTGCCACGCTCTACGCTATCATTGGCGGTTTCGGGTACACAGGGCAAACCAGAGGACAAGTTGGCTCCACCGTTGGAGTCCTGTGCGACGTCGTCGCCGTTTGTCTATACGGCGCCCCCATGGAGAAACTCTTCCAGGTCCTCAAATACAGGTCAGCCGCCTTCATCAATGTGCACATGGTCATCGCTAGTCAGTCGAATAACATCATGTGGTTCACTTACGGTGTGCTCACGGAGAACTGGTACATCATTTCGCCCAATATTCTGTTCATCACACTCAACTCGTCCACATTGGTACTCTATCTGGTCTTCAATCCGAAGACACACCCGCTTCCTGACGACTTCAACTTACACGCCACGATCCAAGACTCAGTAATAGAGTCTTCAAACAAGACTGTTTACAGCGAAGGTGTGAATTCCTGTAGCCCCGCTTTCGACGCCGTACGGTCACCCCCAGGGACTCTTGTGTAGTAAAATAATTTCCCCCGCAGCAACATCAACGCCTGCATGCTACGTAAGAGAACTACAAATTGAATTGATTCTTTTGCAACGGATTTTCATAATATTTTTTATGTTTGAAAAGTTGTTTAGGTCGACACTGGAGATCTAAGGATGAGTGAGTTTGGGTTTACTGTAGCCGACGCAATCAGGACGATTGGAAGAGTTACCGAAGGGCTTCAAGAAAGACCATTATGACTTAAGTGTTTATCTAAACAGCGGACGATGACAGACTGCAGTTTTTTCTACTCAATCTTAGTCTCACATTTTTCAATACCCAAGTACTCGTAGGTTAAGTGAAGTTAAAATGGAAGCGAACGAGTCATGTGTGAATGCATTATCTGTGTGAAGGCCTATTGATACTAGTTGGATTTGGAGTCGCATCGTATTTTTGGGGATACAATTCAATGAACTTGGCAATGACAAATGCGCACCTTTCATAATTCGGACGACATCCTATTTACTACTTCTACAAGACTTTATTTACCACCTTGACGTCATTAGTTGCGAAAGAAAGCTAACCATCATAACTTCACAACAACACCATTCACTTGACCATCGACTTGGCTGCTTGAGTTGTCTCGACCCATTGCTTCACTGACCAAGAAATCGCCTGCTATTTACCAATTCCGTAGCTCCAAAAACCAGCGTCGATATGCGGATTATTTTATTCAGAAATGCTTACTATGACACATGAATGGAGTCCAGCGGCGAATGCATGGCCTCAAAGGCGGGACTAGGCATCTTGTTGTCCCCTTTGCAGCTCACACTGATCTTCGAAGAGGTCAGCGCTGGTGGTTCCTCACTCTCGTCGTCACCTTGCATGTGGAAGTCAGCAGGAAGAGGATGCGTCTTCGGATCGAACACGACACACAGTACCAGTGTGAACGTATTGAGCGATATGAAGACGATATTTGGAGAGATAATGAACCAGTTGTCCGACAGGATGCCGTATGTGAACCATAGACAATTATTCGTAAGTCCAGCAATGACCATGTGCGCATTAATGAAAGCTGCAGATCTGTACTTGAGGACTTGTAGAAGCTTCTCCATAGGGGCGCCGTACACGCACATCGCGGAGATATCAGCGAAGATACCCATAACAGAACCCATACCGTCTCTCGACTGGCCTGTGTAGCCCAGGCCCCCGATAATAGCGTAGATAGTGATGATCGCTAAAATAGAGACCATGATAAACAGTACTCGGTTCATATAGCGTCGCTGTTTAGCGTATTTCCAGTAAACGTAGAGGAAAACCAGCGCCACGAAGTCTCCAAAGAGGTAAATCCAGAAAATAGGGAACCAGTTCTCGATCATGTAGCCGTAAACCGCCCAAACGTGGCAGTTAGAGAACAAAGTCACGAGTGGGATCACAGACGCCACCCCCACGTCCTTCTGCTTGGAGACGCGATAGATCAAGATGGACGGGCTCAGGATCATGACGGTGCCCGAACACGCCGCCATCGACCGGATCACAATCTCTGCAGTGCCAGTCATTTTCGACAGTCGAAGAGTCGAGCGTTGAGCGGCAAATTGAAGACTGGACATGAAGGGACACAAAACAGTTCCCAACCGACTTGTATGAGGTTCGTACGTCGCGTAATCTACAGGATGGGAAGAACAGCTTAAAAATGTGCAATCCCACGATGAATGCAAGACTTTACAGAAGGGAAAGTTGTATTTGTTTTTCACATTTGCCTTATCCTTCTTCTTATTTTTTTTACAGTCGTGGGAATTCTTCAATTTCAAAGTTGACAATCGACTGGTGTGAATTTTCACGTCATTAAGCTGCCTGCATTGCAGCATTTTACGCTGCAATGGGCGTCAAGATTAGCGGCGGCATCTCGAGGTCGCTGAGCTCGTCGCCATCCCACGAGAACTGCAGCGAATCCGGGGTCATCATTGGAGTACGCTCGCCGAACAAATGCGGACTCTCCTCAGTAGCGGAGAACGAGGGAATACTTCCCACTGTGAGTGGAGTTCCCTCCGCGCGCTGGTACGTGTAGGTCGCGAACCGCGCCACACGAGACGGACGCACGGTGCGGTACGTTGTGGGCAACCCGCTCCCCAGATCGAGGTCTTGCTTGAAGCTGTCGACGGTCTTGATGCCGTAACCTTCTTCCAATTGCGCATCCAAGTCCACGTATGGAGTGGTAGGGCGGTAGATGAAGTAGAGCGGGAGCTGCACGCCGCTGAATACGAGACCGATGACGCTCGGAATCAACACGAACATGTCGTTGTCCACGATAGACGTAGCCACCCACATGCAGCAATTGAGAAAGATCATAGTGCACAGGTTGATAGGCAACGAAGCCGACGACTTGGTCTCCAATACGACCTTGATCGTAGCCAATGGCGACGCGTACATGCAGATATTGATGGCTGCACCGACGTATCCCAGTGACTGCACCACTTGATCGAATGTCTGGCCGGTCTTGCCAGTGATACCCAGCACAACGTACAGCGTAACCAGAGCCACACCAAAGAAGGCAGCGCTGCAGGTCCGACAGGCCTCGAGGGTGTTGCGTGCGTAGCGGTAGTAGACGGTAGTGAAGATGATCCCCGCGATCTCGCCAACCAGCGCCGCAGCGCATAGTGGGAAGTAGCTTCCGGTTAGTAGTCCGTAGAGAAGCCACAAGTGGTTGTTGAAGCACATGAGCACAAGCGGGAGCAACGCCATTTGCCCCGTCGTCTTGAACTTGTGCACCCGGTACATGTCTGGGGCTGGACTCAGGTTCATGCCGATCTGGATGGCGGCCGTCGTCATGTGCAGCAGCGTCACGAATGAAGAGGAACCCATGGCTGTCCGAGCTTTCAGCCGGGGCGAGACGGTCGAGTGACTCGACGAAGAAGGAGAGGAATCGTGGTTAGCTTTCAAGTTTGAAAATGGAGATCGATGAGAGCAAGGGAGCTAGTGCTAGTTTGTCCGTCAGTCGTTGTTAGGAAGACGGCATCGGTGACAATGCCTCACTGGAATAATTCGCGCATGGCTCGGATGGAAAGTCGCTGAATGATGCTGAGCAGTGAGCCCTCATGTGTCAGGAATTCTGAGTTGCGTCCGTCCTCTGAAGACTGTACACGATTCATGCCATTGGCTCGATAATTTTTCGTGAAAAATGCGTGAGGATTGGGAGTTTTGGGGCGCCTGAACACCGATGAAGCATCGTCGAAGGGAGGTGTTACGGCGATTCACGGCCAAGCAAATGAAGCTGTCGTTCGCGTTAATGGGCGACCGAGACGAAAATTCGCTGTTTACATGTATGTACGTCTCATGCGGACTGCTGGGCGACACTGGACTAATCCAAAGGCTGCCACTCGTTTGAATAAAGTGTTTTCTTTATGAAAAAGGTATCACAAACGTGTTTTTTAAAAAAAAAATTTAAAAAAAACACTTTCTTTGAAGTGTTAAAAACTGGAATTACAAATGTCACTCACTTCTGAAACTCTCTAAACCTCAGAAGAGATAATTCATTTCGGAAGTGCTCTAAACTTCAGATACTCCAAATACTGAATTTGTGTTTCCTAGCACGTGGACCAGAATGGCAGCATCACGCCCCAAGATACAGACAAGATAGCCAATATGATAGCAATAGGAGGGTGATCTGTAGTAGGCACAGGTTTTGAAGGTCCAGGTAGCTGGTGTACGTTCATTCCTGAATTTGTATTGTCATTTTCTAAAAATATGGACATGGCAACCGGAAGTGTTCAACACACGGGGGACATGGAGCAAGCAGGATGGTCTGGCATTTTACCATACTTTAATGTACTTGTAAAACGTATACTGGTAGCAAAGTTTTCACATAGCGCTACACTACCCACCGTGCCGCTGTTTCAAAAACACTGGCTCAGTGTGACTAGAACTTCTAACGTATTCCAGTAAGCATCTATATTATACTAATCGACAGCTGCAGTATCGTGCTGAATTGTACCTCAGTGCTACCTCTGGAGTGGGTAATTCGTGGTGAGATTTGTGAGGTCTGCTTTTCCTCAAGCCCATGTTGGAATCACGTTCGTTAACAATGATTGTCGACGAGAAATTGAAGACAAATATCTTGATTTAAGCAATAGCTTTATTTAAAATTAATGCTATTGTTGAATTTAAAAAATACATTACAAAAAAACCTCTAAATATAAAAATTCTTCTGGTAAACATTGGTTGAGCGTTACCCACGCTGTGCTTTGCTCCGAGTTTTATTCGCGACGGTTGTCTGCCAATCTTAGTTTTCATTGCATTTGTTACAGCCTTGGTAAAAGAAAACTAACTGTAGGTAGGATACATTTCCTCGACCCATGCTCTGATGTGGTCGTTATCTATGAACTCGAAATCTGAGTTCTTACCAAGTTCAGGGTACTTTGTCGTTAGCAGCAGCGCCACATCGAAGTGATCTCCATTCATAGCACCGTCCAATGCTTTCGTCGAGCAGCCCTCACTTCGATTTTCAGTAAGCCACTGTACGACATGAAGACGGCCCATTGCTGCTGCTTCATCTATCGCCTTGGCTGTACATCCTTCAGGTGAGTTCTCGTGCAGCCACTTAACCACAGCCAAATGACCTTCTTTGCCGGCACCATCCATTGCTGCTGGAGAGAATCTAGCCGCAGCATGGTCGTGAAGCCATTTGACCATCTCTAAATTGCCACTAGTAGCCGCAACATCCATGATATCTACAGAGGGCTCAACCCAGTAATTCTCATGTAGCCAATTCAGCACGTCAAGGTGACCACCAGCTGCAGCAAACTGGATCGCAGCAGACGTACACGTTGGGACTGTTTTCTCGAGTATTTCTTCGTCTACTGCAGTGACCGACTCCATTGTCAACGCTACTTTATGCAAGTACTTCATGACTTGGAGATGTCCATTCATCGCGGCAATATCCATCACCGTCGTGTTGAACTGTTGTTTAGACCCAGCCGCGTACAAATTGACGCTTGACTGGTTCCCAAATTGTTCATGGAGCCACTCAACGACGGGGAGATGTCCACTACTCGCCGCTGTACGCATCGTATGGTGAGTACAAGTAACAGAACAGTTACTATGGAGATACTGCACAACTTCCAAGTGTCCGTTGCTGGCCGCCAAATCTATAGCTTTGTACGCCATATTCCAGCCCAGATTGTTCTCTTTTAGCCATTGTACTATCAACAAATGTCCATGTGTTGCTGCCTCACAGAATGCCTCGCCATCAAGATACACCATATCTTCGTCGACAAGCAGCTTCACTATCTCCAGATGCCCCTTTGAGGCTGCGTTCTTGAGTGCCCACTGCTTCCCAACGTCACGATTCTGATCCAGAAGCCACTGTACCATGGCTATATTCCCACCCTCTGCGGCATAGTCGAGTCGGGGAGGTTGCCATCCGTCCGATACTAGCCGTCGCACGGTTTCCATGTCACCGTGACGTGCCAGTTCGTCCATCACTTCCTGGTTACTCTGCATGTAGAAGCCATGGAACACGTCGGTGTACAGCCAGATAACCAGATCTCCGTGTCCTCCAGTCGCAGCAGCGAGCAGTGCATTGCTCTCCCAAAATTTGACCTGATGCGGCTTCTTATCAGTCGGATTGCGAGCCCCAGGCATCGACGCCTTCTTGTGTTGTTCATGGACTTTCAGTAGTAGCTGGAGGATATCTCGCTTGCCTCGTTGCGACGCTGCCTCTACAGCTTCAAGTGGTACTGCGCAGCCAGTTAACTGATCAATCAGCCACTGTACCGAACGTACGTCTGCGTGCGTACAGGCTTCGATCATTCCTTTAGAGAACTGGTCTTGATAGTAGAAGCGGTTGGTCCACAGCATCCTGGATGGACACCAGGTATTCGTGGGCTGGCACCACGGGTCCATGACGGTCTCTCGAGACTTGCTGATGTCCCATACTCTCTGCAATAGAGATACAGAGTCCACAGCACACGCTCGAGCTAATGGCAAACTCGAGGAGTGGTCGAGGAAGGCTGACAGTGTATCCGTCACGTGCGAGAGCTCCGCGATCCCAGGCTGCGAGCGAGCCACCACTAGGACACTGGTTAACGGTTCAGGAGCCATTTCTGAAGTGGGGGTGCCACGCATGGGACGCAAGTGAATCTGAAGCAATCGTCTTGTCGTTAGTGACACGCGGACATACGGCGGATACGAAGCAGACACGACGCCGTCGCGGAGACCTGTCGCCGGCGGTCTCCGCTGAGCAGAAGAACACAACAATTCATGTATAAAAGGAAAATGTTTGCAGGGTCACCATGGTGGGCGAGCGGTGAGTTTGCGCTGCACATTGAGCGGTGACGTAGGGCTCTGCTTGGTGTGGCTCTGATTGCTGATGTAACGTTCGTCACGGGTTTAACGAACTGATGGTCGAAGTGAGGGCAGCAGTCCCGGAAGCCCACCACGGTCTCTCTGATGCCGTGGGTGCTGATCCGTGACGTACTAAAGTCGCAATGTTGCGACGTGCAGCAACCATCATAGACAAGAACATTATTCCAGATCCAGGAGCATTTGAGCAACTAGCAAAAAAAATCAGGTATTTTGGGTACCGGTAATGGGTTCTATGGAAGAAATCCAAATATCCAGCAGGGTTAATTGCCAAAACTGGATCCATCAGTATAAAACACAAGGTTTTTGAAACCACCCACCTGTCTTGAAACACCCATCGTCATTTACTTTAACAAATACTGTAATATATTTGCCCACTATAAAAGGACGTAGTAAAGTAAAAATATTAGTGCTGCAATTATTGCAATATGTTCATCAGAAATTGAAACGCTTCCAGAAGTGTGTACTGACTGTTTTATAATTATTCTATTCAACGAATAAAAAATGAAAACGAATTATTATCCATGAATGTAAATCAGGCAAAAACAAATACATAGAAGTGTTACAAGTGTTCAATTGGTTTCCCGTCTCGTAGTCACACTGATCTATTTGAGTCATATTGGCAGTTCAATCGGATAGCGTGCCACATCAATACTCAAAACCTGTTTCAAGAAATTGTTTTCTAATACATGTCGAAATAGGCGTTGATCAAGGGAAGATTGATGGGAATAGATCGGTTTGCAAAATGGAGTTACGTTCGTAAGTACACGGGTGCTGGGCACAAATGCGAGAAGCAATATTGACTTTCTCAGCAAACTATATTGCACTAGTACGATTAGGTTTTATTGTCCAGAACTTTTGTCTCCATAGCACCAACCTTGTCAACCTGATGACACACGGACAGTAGAGTTCACTTGTTTAGTCGTAAACTGACAAAAGAAAATGCTGTATTGATACCAGTAGAGCTGGTATCGGGGAACTAAACAGTCAATTTACATATATTCGAAGTACTCGAAAAGTGCATGTATTAATGCTTGATTTATTGTGCTCTTAGCACAACCAGCTATTATTTATCGTTGAGCCATTCGAATCTAAGAGTGAAGTCTGCACCTATAACATGCAACGAAATAAAGAGCAGTCAAACTTCAAATATACCATCCACCAGTAAGAAACAGAGTTCTTACCGAAATGCTGCAGTTCAAGCGGTACAAGAAGAAAGATCCCAGTAAGAAGCTTCAATTGTACCAGGTGGACATGGGTTTCCAGTGTGAAAGCAAGTTGATGCAATGCAGAAAAAGCAAACTTGCGCTGTAGATAACGATGAAGAATGACGAGAGACAAAACCTCCAGCATTGCTAACACCAGGATATTCCCTGCAGATCCAATGCCCCAATTACCCGGACCACCAGGATAGTAAACAATATTTGGCAACTGCTCCAGTATCGATTTGTACACCACGAAAACTATTGGGATGACGCATTCGACGTACTCAACCATTTCGAGATATTCACAGTGAAAAAGTAGCTGTAACCCCTGTAAAATCAACTTTTCGGACTTCTCTGTGACCAAGCTGGAATTATTTGTAGGCGCTGTTTGTGCATATTGAGTTCTCGGTGCTGGTTCGGGACTAGGAGTCGGTACGATAGAAGTGCTTTGTTTGAATTTATTAGGTCGCAATAATCGCTTTATTGTGTCTCCAGAGGATCGGCTCTGCGAACAATATGTGCCTGATGCTTCCAGATTAAGGAGCTCTTGAGCTTGTTTACTTGTAAGAAAATGAGGCACGCTTGCCCTTAGACGTACTGATTCCAACGACTTGGACTGAAAGGCTCCAGATTCTCTAACCACGTTCAGAATTGTCTCCAGCATATCTGGCGTGCAATTTTGACGATCAATTGACTGTTGCTGGATAAGTTGCAACAACATGTTGGCATTGTCCTTTAACTCACGTGTCTCCAATAATAATTGTACTAGATCGACAATGATGAACAAGAAGGACAAGTATAATGGCCCTGACGATGACATGCACACCGATACGAAGAGTGAGCTGAAAAAGTCGGCAAAAAATGCCACCGATTCCGGTATAATGTCTTCAAGGCCGCGCGTAGCGTAGACGATGAAATGTTTGGCAGCGAATTTCCAAAGCGGTAAGACGATAATCACCACATATCGATACGACACAGGAACGAAGTCATAAAGTACTTTGCAGAGAGGAAAAATCCCGATAAATGTCATGAACGCCTGGTAGTAGCGACGGTATTTCTTCAAGATACGAAAACCACTTTCGGGGGCACCAGATCCAATCACAAGTCGTGGCATTAATACTCCAAAAAACCCGGATGGAATGGCTCCAAATTGCAGCAAAAGGGGTACAGGAAATCCTATAAGATGTGCAGCAAGAATGAATGTGCCGACCTGACCAAGAGCCGTACCCGTAGTTGCGATAAGTCTCTTGCAAACCGTGTAATTCAGGTCTGGAACGAGATTCGTCACTGCTGAGTTTGTACCGAAGCCAAGCGCCATGTTTGCCAACGAAAGACGAAGCCAAAATACCCAGTTGGCTTGCCACCCCTCGGACGGCGGTCGTAGAGGGAGACATTCAAGCAGCACCGCGATTAAAAGAGAAGGGATTGGCGTCAGTACACAGATTAATATCACCCGAGTCCACGATGTCGTGTTACAGTAATTCTCAAGGCTCATGAGACGCTCGACTGAGTACGATCCCTGGCGTCCAACCTGGATTCTATTCCATTGTTCTTCGAGCTGGTGCCAAGATGTCAAGCGGGAAGAAGTCCGAGCGTCATTGATTTCCGTTGCGCTCAACGAGGGAGTAATTGCTGCCATTGCAAGAGTAGATTGAAACTCACCGGTGAACTACCCAGACAAGTACTGTAGATTTTAGATTGCCGAGCCAAGCACTGTAATCTATTTCTAGCTGATCAAACCACTTAGCACAGAAGTAGTCTTCGTGCTAAGAATAATTATGACTCTTACAGTCGAAGCTGACTAAAAATTGAACAATGCCGTCAATCAATCTAACAAAAGAGTACACACATGTATCCTGTACAAACATAATTGTCTGAAGATGCGCCACAAAGAAGCCAAAGTGTACGGGGTACGATAGCGACTAATCGACACCGCTGTCCACCTTCGATATATCACTACAGCTCCAGGATCTGCTGCTTTTGAAGGCGAGCACTCGAATACGATTAGTAACTGCGTAATTGATAGCATTTGGTGAAACCACACCATGCGGCAACGATACTTCGAATTGATTCTCTTGTGCACGTGTAAAAAGGTTGGACTAGCGCGGCCATTTTCCAAGAAGTAATGGGTCAGCTCTTCTCCGTCCAACCGTTGCACCCATATCATAAATCTCCAAGCACTTTGTGGCTACGTATTTATGCTTCGTTCCACATTAGTCTTAATAATTGCGCTTGTTCTGTACGTAGCCGTCACTTGTGCAATATAATCTCGCACCTCCTAAAGGTGTGATGGCATTAACAACAAATTGTGCGTCCGATACCGCCACTGACTAGAAATTGTCTACCTGCGCTGCGAAGTAATGACCTATAAGCATCGAAGATCGTGGGGCGACTTGAATCTCCGAACCAAGACGGGAATGCGAGACCATCCCAGAAGACGGCTGCTACACAACATCCTCGCGTGGTAGCTTCAATAACGTAAGAAGTGTCGTAACACTTTGGCAGCCGCAGTTGCCCTGCACAACGAGTTGGCGCGCCTAAAATGACTTCGGGAGTTTGGTAAGAGGAAAGTCCACAAGGAGAGAGAAATCCAGCGTTGAAAAGCCCATCCGTTCCAGATCTGGAGACGCCGTATTCTTGACCTTGAACTGATTCTCTAAGATCCAACAGTATATGAAATGCATTGGCAAAACCTTGTCCCCCATTTGTTGATATGTCACTTGCAACAAACCACACCGAGACAAGTCCAGCAGCTGAACATCGTTGACAAGCGAATTCACACTTCACTAAATGGTAAATGATAACCAAGTATGTTCTCAACAGGGTTGTTATATCATCGCAGTTTCTGATATACTCCACTAAAACGATACCACAGTCCACGGGGTTCGATAGCATCTCGAACTCTGTATCCTCCTCATCCCAGAACCACTTCCCCGGTCGATAGATCGCAGGAGCTTCAGCTGCTTTTCTAAAGCGCTGAAAGTGAACAGTCGAATACGATAAACCCTTCACCAACTGTGTAATCGATAGCCAAATTAAAGAGACGATAACGAACTTAATTGTCGAAAGCTTCCTTGTAGTGTACGTCCACGAAAATCCACGAAAACTCAAGCCACCACAACGTTCTAGCCTGTAATGGCACAGTAATCCTCGCTCCAATTGCTGTAAAGAGATAATCAACCTCCGGCTGGTAGACAGCGGTGGTCAACGGCGTGCACTTGGTTATGCTTGAAATCACGTCACTCCATTAAACGTTGTGTGTGAGAAGCCACTGGTGATTGTAAATGCTGTTGTGGTTCCCACCCTCTTGCTTGACCTTCTGGTGGGTAGACAACAACCGCGCCAGCTAGTCCTGGGCTAGAAAGTGTTACAGTACGCTCACTTCCACGATGCGAAACAAGCATACGCCGTCTGTACAGTACACGTCAACACAGGTTATTACAATCATGATTCTTCAGCACGAGCTACCAAAACTCGCGGGCGTACATTTCGACAACGACCAAAGCGAGTATCGCCGACTCCTCCGAAGTATGTTCTTGTGCGCTTAGTGTCGATGACGCGTTGATATTTGTTGATCTTGTGGTTGATACGTTCACGTTGTCAGTATTGTCAAAAATACTACATATAGTACCCAGTGCTCCAGAGTAGAGTAGCGCTCCGAAAATAGAGCCGTCGAATCAGATTTTTTTTAGTGAAGGATGAAGATGAGTCATCTTAAATGACTGTTGATGGGGAAACCATAGCAACCCTATAACAAGTTAGCGTTCTATGAGACCTCATAACTCCCTGTAAGTACCTGAGGAGATGCAATATCAATCGGACAGAAGCATCATCAGAGTGGGTCAAATTGCCATAATAGGCGATATTGACGTCCCTGTCCGAAAAGACCTGGAAAGGTTCTGTTGTAGAGTCCTCACAGTGCAACTCTCTAGAATCGCCGAAATCTCTCAAGTCTTCCTCATTAACGAGTAATTAGTCAAGAATCTAGTTATACTTGCGTCCGTGCTTCAAATTAGACCAAGACGTTGGAGTGCAGCGTTATTTGATCAGTAGTTCAGTCGGTTTTTGTAGCGCCTCTAGTGCCGCTCCGTACAAAGTTCAAGGCCAAGTCGAGTTCTGTGACGCCGAAGAAAGACGAGTGCGTCTATTCTTGTGATCTTGAGGCGGGAAGGGGAGCCCTACTGGTAAGCACGGTTCCTTACATAGAGGGAGTCTCTGAAACAAAAATTCACCGTGACTTTTTTTATTCCCTTACAAAACTTAGGTTTTCCCTCTATTTAGGAGACTAGGTTCAAGTCAGTTGGTTTAGAGCCCAGCAGTTTTTTTTTCTTGTCCCGTTTTGAAGTCGAGTGGGACAATGGCAGTTTTTTTTTTGATTGGGTGTCCCTCGAGTGGAGCTCTACTTGGTCTCCACCCCCGTCACAACACAATCCAGAAGACTCCTCCAGCCTTTAAAGGTAGAACAATCCGATGGTGCGTGTGGTCTCGTGCCGATATCTGCGTATCAGTTGCAGCGAGGACGACCACCCACTCTTTCGACGCTACTACGCCAGGTAGGCGTAACGTTGCGTCCATAATGAGATGCGCACTTTGACACGTGGTGATGACCCAGGAGCAATCGGGAACGCAGCGTTAAGGTTCGTAACACTTACGGGCAGCTCGAGTACCTGTATTAGTTCTAACTAAGTGGGATTGATCTCAGCTATTGCGCTGCTTCCCTCACTGCTGTCCGGAGCACGTTCAGCGCTGCTACTGCGGCTCTTCCGTCCACGTATTGGTGACTTTCGATGCTGAAGTATCTGCTGCTAGTCAGAGGAATTTACTGGTCTGCGCTCGCTTCGAACCTTCGCGTGTGATTCCTCCGTGGCCCATGAATCTAATCAATACGTCGAGAATTGAGGAAAATGGCGTGGACATTGAACACAGACTGCGGCCAGGAGAGGTTGTCTCTCTACCGGAGACTCTACTGTCCACAGACAACCGGAAGGCGACGCAGAGTGTCTGGATACGAGCAGACAGAGAAGGCGAGTCGAAGCAGACTTATAAGGTTTGTTGTCACCATTTTGACAGGATATATCCGTTTACTAACATTTGTGTATTCGCTCTTGACATCGTCCGACTTTCGGTGCGTCGCTCGAATGGGTAGAACGGTGTCCTGTTTGTGCTCAATAATTACCGCTTCCCCAAGTGGCTCTACAGCTACGATAGTAGCGTCACTAGGACTCAGCGAGAGATGACACACCACCTAGTTGTCTATGTTTGTCAGCTCACAGGAACCAGATCACAACTTGGAGAGATTGACGCCGCTGTACTGGCTCGCCATGAATCTCCAGGCTTTTCACTAATTTCTTACCGGCGGTCGGGTAATAATGGCCGTGACGCTGGATGTGATTTACCTGCTATCGATGTGGACTCCAGCACCACGTTTACAGCAGTAGATTTCGATTCGCTTGATGCTTTTTCTTCGTCGTCCGATGCAATGGAAGTCGATTCAGTAGATTCGACTTCCACTGAGCCTCAGACAGAGAAAGTTTACGCAGCGGCCGACAGATTTCAACAAAGACAAGTGGAACAGCAGCAGAAACAGTTCGATAACAGATCGGCCTTTCCATTATGTGGCGATACTGAAGATAAGTACTCATGGCAGCATAGAGTGGAGGCACTCAACTGTGGCTTTCGAGAAAAGGGTCAGCATCTTCTGATTTTATGGCGGTTTCTACAAAACATTTCACTCAGGGAGCTTCAGTTGACCGAGGCAGCCAGTACTCACTTGCGTTCATTTTGGTTACAAGCTGCGGCTTCTTTTCGTTCGATGGACTCCAGTAGTTTTCTCCACGACGCCGTCGGTTCTCTGTTGAGGAGCATTTTCGACCACAACTCAGCTACTTCTATCGGCTCAACGGATCCAGAATGCGCCGTTGTTCGAGTAACTACGCATCTATTTCTACGCGCGCTGTCGTCCCATACCGTTCAACGTCTTGTGCTGTCCGCGTGTACTGTGAATGACGCTAAAACAAGCAAACCACATCTTCAAGAACGGTTCTTGCTGCTAATTTCGGACGTGTATGAAGTTCTCGGTAGAGTCCTACACGAGGTGACAGACGCGGCCTCATTTACACGAGGGAATCAGCATGTAACTATCCCTACACTAGTTGACGAAGTGCTATCACTCGTATATAGACAGCCGAAATATCGACCACTTCGAGCGGGATTTGTGGCGTTGCTGATGGACCAGCGACCAGATTCACTATCCGACGCTCTAAATTGTGCGTTTCAGGCGTTTACGGCGTTGATAAGGGAGAGAATGATCGCATGTGCTACTCGATACAGAGACCGAATTCGAACTGGAGGTAACAATTCAATCTGGAACCACCGCTGGTTATTGGAACCTGCTTCGGTTCAGCTTCTTGATTTATCGTCAGGTTCTCGTACAGATTATCGTCACGAAATGCGTCTAGTTGACGCCATGCAACTAATGTATGAATTGGGTTGTGTGGATTTTAAAGTCCAAGAAAACGCGTCCTGGATATCGTTGCGATCTGCCTTTTCAATGGCGACATCAGCTCCAATGACCCTCGTATTGGATGGAAAACTGCGCGTGTTTCGCGTACTGCCCAGTGGAATTTCATCTATGATCTCGACGCTAGGAAGCTGGTCGATTGGTGATTACACCGCTGCATTTTCAGAAGACGGACGGTCTCTGGAGGTTAACATTTTCAGCTTTGCTGACGCTATGACTAACGGATTTACCAGTGATGATCATCACTCGAGAGATGCCGCTCGAGATGATATTGTGAAGCTACGTCGAGTGTGTCTGTCGATCCGACTGGACAAAAAGCTAAACCAAGAAGGCAGAGATCAGAAGGATCTATTTGTTTTCGTACGCGGAACTGTGTACGGATCTACGCTATCGTTTTCACTAAATGAACGCAAGAATGGATTGAACCTTTCCGAGCAATCAGCCATGGATCGAGCTGCCACATGGAGCGAGGTCGAGTGGGCAGAGTTGTGGGAGTTGAAAGCTGGATATATCCCCTTGCCACGCGCTTCCTAGCAGCGTTTCTGGGGACATTCTGCTTACCTCAACCAAACACTTAGTTTTATGTAATACCACGTCGTCTTCGCGTAATTTACCCTTAGTAATAAACTCGTACCATTCATGAGTCGAACATGTGCTGTCGTGTGATCAATGAGAAAAGTTAAATCGTCTGCTACGGACGGGTGCACTTGAGTGTGGACGCACGTCATTATCGATTGGTTGGGGGCTGTCCACGTCTGTCCACTTATGTGTGGCGGCCAGACCGGTCTAATTTTTATCTTTTGTTTATTAATAGGATTAGCCCTTTAGATTTTTAAAACGCTTTTCCATCTACACATTTTTTAATGGATGTATCACCGAGGCTTTACCAGCAAGCACTGCCCTCTGTTTGCGCTGATAAATTCATCCCTGTTAGATTGTATAGTACAACTACGGACTCAGTTGAACGAACTGCAGGATCTGTGCCAGAATTGCGCTTTCAAAAGTGTAATTCTGGTCACTTTACCGGAGGGTCAAGGTTCTATGAACTCGATTTATCGTAAATCCACCACCTGTTGCTTATAAATCCAGCAAATCTAATCTCGTTTTGCCAAAATCGTTGCAAAAAATGCAAAGTGTAAAACCGCTACGTTCAAAGAGCGACATAGCCCGCCTGAATTTGGAGTAATGGTGTCCAGTCTACCTGATTCCACAGCATCGCTCGATCGCAGCTCGACATGTCCGAGATCTTCAAGCCAGAAGCACGAGTTCCTTCCCTTGAACTGCTGTACCTTGATCTACATACAGTTCCGTGGATGATGATGAAAAGGTCTCTAGACTGCGCCCCACCTCTCGCGGCGTCTGCTTCTTGATCCAATGCCAACGAGAGGCTAATCCGATGTACCAACGCCGTATTTAACGCAACAGCTTCTTCAGAGCTCATATTACCACGCTCGTCGAAAGTGAAAAAGTGCAAATCGATGGATTGTCCGTCTTGAGAGAAGGTGGCCGAGTAATCGCCGACAGTAACCCCTCCGCCTGCTATTCTCGATGAAATCCCGCTCGGTAGCGCTCGGAAGACGCGAATCCGCCCATCCAACACCAGCTTCATATGCGAAGTCGTCATACCGGAGCTGAGTGTAATCGCTGCTCTCAATGACATTGAGCGTACTGCATCTTGAGTCATTTTAACGTCAATACAGCCAAACTCACGGATCAACAGCGCCATACTAAGCAGAGGACTCGAATACCTTGCACCTGATTCCACATGTGCCACTTGAAACGAACCAGGTTCTAACAGCCAACGACGACACCACTGACTGTTCCTGAGGCTTTGAAAGTCTCGCTCAGACACGGTTATGGTGTCTTGGAATTGTACCGTAAACGCTCGAAATGCACGGTTTACAGCACCAGTTAGAGAGTTCGGTGTCTGAAGTTCGAGTAATAGCGTCGAAATCTTCGCTCGAGCCTCTCTAAAACGAGTCTGCTTGTACGCAATTGACATTACATCGTCCACAAGCACAGGCAGAGTGGCAGTCTCAAGAGGACGCGATTCACCACCGGTATTTTCCCCCATCACTTCCCGCAGGATGTCATTCAGAATACCCCACAGATCTACAATTGCTGTCGCGAATTTCTCACGCTTGTTCATTCCACCATCTTCAACTTGACAGGCGACACTAAGATGCTGCTGCGCTGCGCGGGACCACAATGCGCGTATAAACAGATACCCACACAATCGAATCGTAGTATGCTCATTGTTCGCGTGACTTTGGCTCGGTGTAATATCCAAAATCTTTCTCAAAAAAGAGACTATTACGCCCTCAAGTTGATCATTCGACACAAGTGATGGCGCGTGCAATGCAGCTGCTGTCCGTAACCAATGTGACCGCACATGCGCTTCAAATGATCCCCAATTAACGCCCAAATCGTCCACTGAAACGTTCTCAACGAAATACCAGAGAATAAATAATTGCTGTCCCTTCTCCAGAAAACCAGGAGCAGTCGCCTCAACTTCCTGTTGCCACAAGTCCATGACGTCCGCAACTTCGCTGGGGGTAGTGAGATCGGCTGCATGAGTCTGGTTGTCACTTCCGTCCTTGTCTCGAATCGTCTGCATGCTGAGGTCCCGGTCAAACGGAGCAGAAGCAGAAGGAACACCTTGAATAGAGGGGTACGGGAGACGAATTTGCTGCTTTTGTCTGGCCTCCTGCTCAATCCGCAGTCGTTGTTGAAAGCGCTGCTGTTGTAACCATTGTTGCTGTTGTAGATGTTGTTGTTGATGTTCTTGGACTTTCCACGATGCCGATAGAATTTGTGATGACGCTACTTCCATGTTATCGGCGGGCGTTTCGATCGCAGGCAACGGACAACCAGGATTTCCAGACGAACCGCCTGATCGCCGGTACGACACTAGGAAGAAACCGGGTGACGCGTGTCTTGCGAGCACTACGACGTTGGGAGTTTGTTGGTTAATCTGCTGCGCCATAGGAAGACGGCCAGGAAGGGCTTGGAATATATATGCAACCAGGTGATGCGTCATCTCCCGCTGAGTGCGCGTGACGCTGCTGTCGTAACTGTAAAACCACTTGGGCGATACGCGGTTATTGAGAACATACAGCACGGAGTTCTTGCATACAAGAACACAGGGTTAAAGTTAAGTAAATGGAATTGATACAGTGGTCCAAATACCTGTAACAAATTCCACCATACCTGGGGAACTGTCTGTTGATTCGTGTCGCTTTCCCTTTCAGCAAGTATCCACTCACCACCATCAGAAGAAGTTCTGGCGGCTGACCCAAATAAACTCTCAGGCAGCACCACTCTTTCCCCAATATCCAACTTACACTTGTTTTCCTGTCTGTCTCCTGTAGCACCCACAGTGCGAGCTAAATCGACTAATCCAGCGGGCCAGAGCGGGACCACGCGAGTAGGTTCAAAGCGCGCACAGACCACGATTTTATCTAATGGAATAGTCCTCGCATCCCCCGAAAAAGTGACGAGTACGTGCACGGAGCAGCCGCAATAGCTGCGTCTAGCGTGCTCTGGACAGCAGTGTGGGAAGCATCGCAACAGCTACACATGCCGCGTTAGAGATATCACAACACAGGTCCCTTCCAAGTGATATGTCGAAGCGATTGACGCACCTTGACGCCTCGCTCCCGGTTGTTTCTGTCGTGCCAAATTCCGTCCACCATATGAGTCAACATAACAAGATTCGCCTGTCCAGAAGTACCCATTCGTACCTAGCATATTCCCGGCGGAAGAGCGGGTGGTCTTCCTCGCTGCAGCCGAGACGCAAAAAGCGGCAAGCCACTACGTGAGCCATGGCCGAATGGTCGCTTTTCTTGAGCTTTGGGTTTGGTTGTGGATGCCTAGAAAGTTTTTTTCTGAACGGACATGGGCCGATGTTGCTGGTCAGAGAACTACTTGGCTGGAATCGCGATCAATGAGGTGCATCAGGCGTACCCCACCCGTATCAAAGAAGATCTTGTGTGGGGTCCAAAACGACAAACAGTTGTTAGTCAAGCATGTTCAGACGCAACAAAGCTAGGGGGGGCCTTCATGTATGGACACAATTTTGATGAAATTACCGGTTTACCGATATGCGTATTTTTTTTATTCGATGACTTTGTGCGCTGGGCCCTACAAATCCTCGACGTTTGGCTGAAATGGTGCAGAAAGACTCCCGGATTCCCAATCACGGTACTTTTGGTCCGTAATCGCCCAGTTTCTGCAATACGTCACATCAATATTGTAGCCAGCTCCTGGACGAACCACCTGCCAGGCAGACTGCCCAATAGCGAAGACCACAGAACCCAGTGCTGTTTACAAATACAAAACGAAACGCGCGGAAAGTCTGCCAGCACGACAGTGATGCTCAAGCATTGACTCGACAGTGTTGAATGCAACAGTGTCAGTACCTCTTGGCGAATTTTGTGCGATGCCTATGTTTCAAAACGGCACAGATTATGGACATCCGGCTGGTTTTGTGACATAATCGTACCAATACCGGTATCAACCAGAGATGCCCCGACGTTTGCTGGGAAGAACTCGTAAAGCGTAACAGTAACTTCAACGTGCTTTGCAGTATTCATAAGCTGGCTTCTCTCGTCACCACAAAGGCCCATTGAAGCTTCTCTGGAGATGCAGGGGCAACAGGAATCACGGGTTGTGGAAAGTTTTCCACAGCCACCGCTGTCGCCAATGAGCTGGCGCATATTCAGCAAGGGACCAATGTTAATGGTGATACAAGGACGTTCAGCACAAACTGAGCAAATAATTGAATCTGAACGGTACAATATCGTCCCACAGATATGAATTATTCGAACTATTGAGATCTCTCGAACACAACCGGTAAGCTTCAAATATCAATAAATGCCACTTGACCCGTCAAACATAACCTGAAAATGATCGGGACGCTCAAGGCACATACCCTTCATTCTACTACATACATGTACCGTACTCGAGTTAATGTCTAATACAGTGTCTATTGATAACTTGAAGGATGCCATCGGGAAAAATGTCAAAATATGTATGAATACACAAATGTTTTGACATTTTGCAATACCGGACTTAACTTGTGTGCAAGTTAAGCCTGGCATTGTCGGTATGCGTAATGAGTGGAGTATCCACCACATATTTGGGGACAAATGTCAGAACGTGTGTGCAATCACCTGTATGGTGGTGGTGCGCAGGCCAAAACACTTGTGAGCCAAACAACGTGATAAGAGGTCCCATTGACAATTGTAGCGACTGAGGGACACAAAAACGATAAGATAATCACGAAGAAACCCATGGATCGTTCAGCTAACCACAGATTACATTTTTTTGGACTCGTTTTCCGGAGTATTTGCCGTTCAGTAGCTACCGTCCTTGATAATTACATGACAGAAACTACGTCGAGTTGCTCGCATTGTTCTTTTGTTGTCTGTTTCGAATAACTTGTCGTTCCCGCCACACCTCTTAATCGACTTGACCTGAATTACCTGACCCTAGAGCTCCTAAGTACATGCGTGTACTCCTTGTGCTCTGGATATTGGCGTTGTCTTAATCAGACACTAAAATGACACGAGATGTCGGGTATGGGATATTTATCAGGAGAATGATACAACGAGCGATCAATTTATCAGAAGAAGATACAATGAATCCGATTGGCCAGAATAAAACGGCGAGGTCTCTCTATATTTGCACTAGTTAAAATTAATCCTGTTTGGGTACTCATTCTGAGGTATTCCCAGGATAAACCTTTTGTTAGTAAGAAGGTTGGTAGAAAAACCAACAACTGCAGACATAAGCTTTCTCTGGTTAGGATGAGTTCCTCAGAGGGTAAGGCGCACAAGTTTGATCTGAAATCTCGCTTTGGATATGCAGAACCTGAGCAGCACATACACTTTGTGAGTTTGGAGACGGCAGGTTCTTATATCAAACACTACGCCTTTAACATGAACAAAAGTGTCGAGAGGAAGAAAGGAGGTGGTGGAACCCACGTAAAATGGCTGTGTTCTGAGCACAAAAACAGTTGTAACTGGTTCATAGCTTTGTCACGCAAACGTCAATCGAAGAAGCGACCATGCAGCGGCGGAAAAAGCCTACTCACATATTCCAAGTGGATCATGGTATATCTCTAAAATGGAGCTAAACCACGCACAACTTTGCCCTGGGATTGCTGTAATGACTACTGAGTTTCTGTTGGAGCATCCTGGTTTTCGTGGAGCTATTCTTCCTGGTCATAGCACTTCACTAGCGCGGGTAGTAAAGACAATGAGTGAAATTCGCGGTATCGACATTTCCGAGCAACCTGCAATGGCCTACCGTACCATTACACAAGCAAAAAACCAGAACCCAATTTACCCGGTAGCTGAGTACGGACGCCTTCCAGTTATCTACGCGAGTTTGCACGGAAAACCCCTAGTTCACGGGTTTGCTGTCAGTTGGACTCAGAGGGGAGGTTTTATAGAGCCTTCTTATCTATTGGTAGTGCTGTGAATGTGCAAGACGCATTTTTACCTGTTTGGGAGTGCGATGGCACGCACATGAAGGATCCGTCGTACAATGGCGTTTGTTTGACAATTATTGGTAAGGACGGGAACAAGCAAAATGTACCTGTTGCAGTGGCCTACGTTCACAAAGAGACCATCGACAACTTTGCCTGGTTTTTCAGAAACTGTATTGTCGCTGGTATAAAGATGAACATTCGGCCTGCGTTTTGCGACAGAGGAAAACAGCTAGCAGATCAAGCCTTGTTGCTTCGCATCAACATGACAATACACTTGAAGTTCTGCTCACTGCATATCAGGTTTAACACCATGGACAAGTTCAAGTCTCTGAGGTTAAACTTGAAGTCCGTAAACGACGATATTTTTTCGCTTCAGGGCGCTTCAACAATCGAAGGGTATGAGCTCATCAAAGCTAAGATAGCATCCAAGTATCCTGCCGGAATTTCAAAGGTTGTTGCGGAGAAGATCGTCGAGGAGCACGTTTGGAGCTACCTTTGCAGTATTCATCCCACAGATTGGTGTGTTGTCGGTAATATGAAGGCAACAACAGAGGAAATAAAGTGGATAGAGGATAACTGGTCGTCTGTCCCAAAGCACGGCGACGCTTTGCCTGTGTTTGGTATTTGCACTACGAGTGCTGTCGAAGGAGAGAACAACGGGCTACTATGGGGACGTGTGCGGACCCAACTTGTGCTAGGTTCAGTCATGACGTACTGTACACGAGCACTCAAAGTTTTGCAGAAGCGTAAGGAGCTCGTCCAGGAGTGGAATAGTGAAATTTGCGATATCACTCCTCACGCTCTGAAGGAGTTCGAAAAGGAGAAAGAACTGGTTGCTCACCAGACGGTCGTGCAGGGAGACCAGTCTCTCTTCTACGTTTTTGACGCCTTCGATAGCCGCGATCTAGGTGGGGACGCACATCTCTACGAAGTTAACATGGACTGTGGAACTTGCACTCGATGCACTGTTGCTGAGCAAATGCAAGTCCCTTGCCATCACATGCAGGCAGTCGCTTTCTGGAGATCAAGGCAAACAAATAGTGGACTTCCGGCCTATGATATCAAGCACTACTTCATGAAGCTTACACTGTGTCGAAAAAGGTAGAGGCCCTTGACTCCACTGTTATCAGTCTTCCTCTGTATGACGAACTTGAGCAGACAAACAAAGTCAAGCCCCCACCGTTAAATCGTCAAGCTGGTCAATCACGCAAGCGTTCGAAAGAAGCCAGAGACTTCGCAACTGGTAAAAGAAGAACGCCAAACCGAGGTGAATGTGCTAGGTCACCGGCTCGAATAGTTCGTCAGTGTGTGCCTAGTGACGTACACAGCGTTGATGATAGCAACGCAATTGCAGAGTTTTTCAACGCGCAAGTGAAGGGCGCGCAGAGAAGCAAACGGGAAACGTACACATGCAGCCGCTGTCAAGAAGCCGGTCATAACGTGAGGAGCTGCACGACACCACCGATGGAGATAGAGGCAGCTGGGGTAAGTATCGTGCCAGGTATTTACGTTGTTGGAGAATGTCCATTCGTTGCCTGTGGAAAAAGCGCAGAATATGAAAGAGAGATCAAAACCTACAAGTAAACAACGGAATATACACATAATATGAAAAATAATTGGTGCCGTCAGTGTGAGAATATTATCTTCAATATTCTGAAGGAACGTATAACAACACGGAGTATTGTAAGAGACGGCAGCCAGTGTGAACCGATGTGAACGATTACCTTGAAAGGCCTTGCACACGCTGCAATATATCCGCCACCACCTCAGAGCCCACCAAAAGATTAGAAGTTGTTAGGTCGAACGCAACGAGTCATTAGCAGCTGAGCACGTACCGAGTAATTCCTGTAAGAAAAGCGCCATCTCCAGCTCCCACTTTTTCTCCCTCGTCTTCGCAGCACCGGGCTTTATTACCACACCTCACACTGTTACTAGCTCAGTAGTAGCGAAAGCATTCTTAAGCAGTAGCTGGAGAATCTTTGAATGAATGGACGTCGAGAAAGAACGAGCCGAGAACAACAACACCTTTCTCATATTGAAGTTTTGTTATTAGAATTCACTATTTAATCAAATAGCAATAAACCGTATTATGAGGTGTGTGCATTCAGCAGCAACGCTAGGTAATCTAGGTAATGAATGCCATGGTCTAAGGGTGCAATAAAGTTCTTCAATCCAAGGCTGTCAGTATCACATAGTAGAAATTTAATAAAGTATCGTGTGCGAGAGATTAGAGTTGACAACATAGTGATGCAGATTTGACGCGGACCTCTGTATGTGAGCGGGGTTACAGCACTATTGGCTAAACTTGAGCGTCAATATGCTCGCTTCGGCACCCGTTATCAACACTTCAGACACCAACAGCTGCATAACCAATGTCAGCAACAACGAAATGTTCAACACAAATAGTTGTCCGACGCACACAACTGCGTTTTTGTTTCCAGCTGAGTGGAATGCTGCTCTGGAAGATATTCACCCTGCTTAATGCCTGTTAAATAACGTCATTAGTAGTAGTGCTTGTCAAAAAGGTTAGTCACATTACACCCACTCGAGAAGTTGATCTACACCTCGAACCGCCCACGGAAATCTCTCGTCCGTAATTGGTGAAGTATACAAACTACCACGATGCACATGTTGTATGTGTGGTGGTGAACTGCGCGCGTGATGTCGAGGGGCCCACGCGTAGACAATAGTCCTCTGTTGATGGTGGCTTCCTCATCCTGTTCCACAAGTATATTTTATAATATTCCGCAAGGTTTTTTATTTTTGTGAATGAATGAAGCACATTTGATTCTGGTCAATCGGATTCATTGTATCTTCTTCTGATAAATTGATCGCTCGTTATATCATTCTCCTGATAAATATCCTCGGGTATGTTGGCATGGAATGCATATCCTTCTCACGGGCCGACAATAGGTGATCACTCATTTAATATCGGTGTACCGGTAGGCTGGTTGAGTGGACTGGCTATAGCCAACAGTGGTCAATATGTGTGACTGTTAGGGAAAATGTCAGTTTAGTATCCTCGGTCTAGTGCCCTCAGTAAAGCATCAATCTCTTTGCAGCCAATCAGCCGGTTGACACGTGCCAGGCAGCGTTGAAAAGAGGAGAAACAGCCTGAGTTTATTGATTGTTTAAATAGTTCATTGTAGCAAGTGATAGCGTTCTATAAGTGCTTTCATTGTGCTTCCGCGAATTGGTGCTCTTATCAGTTTAGTAGCCTTTTGACTTGATTAAACTATGCTCTGATTCTCTAGATAGGGCATTGCGGAGGGAACAATATGACGCTGCTAATAGAAATTGTTTGCCGTGACTTGACTCGATATAATTGGTTAATGAGGAGGGCTACTAAACTGACTAGGGCCACAAAAATCTGACCATTACCTTTACTAGAAAGCGGTTCACAGTCAATCGTAGTTTTGGGTGCCAAACACACATTCTACCTTGCACGCACCACACACACTTTGACAATTTGCCCAATCCCATCCTTCGACGCAACGAACGCGATTGTTGACAGTATCTGTACGACTGACAGACATCCGTTGCACTTTTCCAGATTAAAAATCGAATATCCACTTTGTCAGCTATATTTGTGGAACCAATGCTATTATACCATTGGTCAGAGTTGTCGTGCGAGACCCATGTGGACAATGGCGAGGAGCTCTTACGTCATGCCAGACCTGTAATGGGTCAAAACCGGTTACAAAAGTAGTTTAGTTTTAGATATTACACAAGTAAGCAAAATGACACACGGCTGGCGAACACTAAACTGTCCGTAAGTGATTGGTTGTTGATGGAGTTAGACCCATTACCAGCCAATCTTGTGGCGACTATCATTTGAATGGTTGATATGTCACTAGGATTCAGGTACTTGATCTGAATATCCCTTGGCTTCCTCACCACTACGTGTAAGCAAGTAGCACGTACGTGGCCCGTTACACTTAGTAGCACATAGTTGTCCTTTCAACGACCAATTTTAGGACGAAAACCTCTTTCCCTCACCTCCGCGCGGCGTGAAGCGCTCTCCACCGTCTCGCAGTGGTATCCCGAGAAGCTGTCGTCACGTCTCTGCTGTGCTCAGTAATGCCCGCGAAACAGCGACTAGCGCTACTGTAACTCATGAGCTGCCAACTCGCGGACGCAAATCGGCGAGCTTCACCTCCCTCTCGATCCTCATACAACGACGTCGTAACGTTGACGACATCTACGTATTCTGGTGTTGGCGAGGATCAACCTCCATTAAATCGATGATTTTGAGAGATCCACATCAGCCACGAGCCTGATCGACGCGCCATCAGCAAAGGTCAAATTCCTACTGCCTAGGTTGACCTGGAAGGCTAGGCATAGGCTTTCGGCAAATTAGCTGTCGACCCCAATGCTTTTCCCACTATGGATGTCTTTCAGAGTAACCTTCGACTCACATTTAAGTCAACCCAAGTTGAACCCCGAGTTCATGATGACTACGTCGCCATCAAGCAAGGCATCACGATGTCAACGCGTGACTTCGACCACAAGACGCCCCACCTTGCAATGTGCATCGTTCCAACAGGCCGATCGACATGGCCCCATCGGCCCACGTCTTTGTGTTCGATATGGGCGAAGGCACGACGCGCTTTTTCATGAACAGAGCTGATCCTTCCACATTTGAGGAAGCTTTCACCCTCGAGCTGCGCAAGGACAATGCGGTGACAACCGGGCCCGCTTCGTGTACGGCTAGAGTAGCTTAGAATCGAATACAGGGTGAACCTCGCTGTTGGCATAGATGTTGAATTGCATGAATGGTTGTGTCCCTCGCTCAGAGCAGTGTACGGTCTCATTCACTTTCGCTCAAACTTGGTAGAGTTAGGGAGGGCCGTGAGTATGTGGTCAAGGTTTTCCGTACTCCGATACACCCGATCACCGACCTCCAACTCCTGCTCCGCGTGATATCTGTCGTAGAAGTCGCGCGCGCGCTCCTGCGCTTTAGCCATGGCATCGGAGAAGGATGGACACTTGCTGCTCGTGGCATCGCGTGACCTGTCGACTCTTGGGAATGTCCATGAGTTTGGCAGTCGTCAGTTATAGCGGGCCCAAACGGATGTACTCGAGATCTGTCTTAAAGGGGGCGCGCTTGGTGCTGGCATAGTTCAAAGTCAA